CCTAGACACAGGAGAACTATTGTCGTGAAAGTGTTGTACAGTCGATTACGAATTTAGATTGCAGAGAGTTTGTTCTGAGCGCTAAAGGCACTCACGATAGAGCACATTTTGCTTTATTCTAACACTGCACCAATACAGACAAAAACTGCAGGTGCCGCAACACAAAATGGATCAATGAAAAAGAGTGACATTTTCAACGTAAACCGAGAGAATCGCTTATTTAACACACCATCAACGAGCTATGCTATGTTAGCGAAAAGACTACAATGAACTGGTCCATATTTGAACGTATGGCTGCTGAAGAAATCATATGCAGCATACGACAAACATGAGGGGAGAGAAGCCCATTCAGAGGCGAGAAAAGTTCATTCAGACGCAATGAAACTATGCAATGAAACTAAAGACCAAGGTTACCGCCTCATTCCTACAACTGAACAACACAGCGACGGATACGGAAATTGGCAAATGACCGATGGTAATAACATTCACAACGGCATTCCGGATCTGCAATAAGAGAAAAGTTCCCGCAAGGAATTACGACGCAACTGATAGGGGACGACACTTGGGCGAGGCTAGCTGAAGCAGCATGAGCACCACTATGAACAGCATGAACAACAACAGCATGAACATGATATGAACAACTGGTTGAGCAATATGAATGGCAGCATGAGAAGTATGAACAGCAATATGCAATTGCCGCAAAAACCAACGTATGCACTGAATCAATACAAATAATGACCGACCAACAGAAGGCACATATGTCAAATGAAAGAAGCGCATACCAAACAAGTCATGATTGCTGACAAAACAAACAAGACCGACTACGCAAACGCAACCGTCTGAATTACGAGCAGAAGTAGCATCACTACTACAATCCAGCGACGTTCCTGCTGATGGAGCAGCAGCTACACAGATATCACAAGTGACTATGGGAACTGCTGGAGCTTCTGTAATGGGCGGACACAACCGACAGTCAAGCGGAAGAGATTGACTCGCAATATGCCTTCAATTGATATAAGCAGCCAGCAAAGTGCCATGGAATCCAAGCACTGTTCAACTAGGAAAAATCTCAGTGGCTCACGAAGATCCAGTAGATGACCCAAGATCCAATGAAACCAAACTGAGGCAATTGGATCCTATCATGCAATGATTGAACGAATGACGCACGGTGCAAGCGGCAAGGATTGATGGAGATAGGCAATGGTCGATGGAGAGAGGTCCTTGCAACTAATTGCACAAACAGGGAACACACAATTTGCGGATGTGCCAGTGAGACAAACTTTTGTATCTACGATCAACACAAGAGATGCTATTGGAATCAAACAACAATGATATTGGGCCAGCACCACCAGCACCAGCAACTAAAGCGAACAATGCGAAAGCGAACAATGCAAAAGCGAACAATGCGAAAGCAACAGCACCAAACCCAGACCGCAACAGCACCAGCAATGCAACTCGATCCGGCAGCAACACCACACACACACTCACAACGGCAACACTGGCGACACCAACCGCAGCACCGACTACTAGATGGCAGAAAGATCTACAGACATGTCATGAGACGCAGCCTACACTTTGAACTTGAACTGAGACAAGATTGGTAACTGCAAATTCCAAACCAGGAAGAGAAACAACAACTCGTGTTTGAACAAGAGAAGCACCAGCCAATGGAAGAAGAAGAAATTGACTTCTCAGATGGTCGACATGGACCACTATTCAACAATAATGCCAAAAGCGATGATGCAAACATGAAGCTGAATCGGGATTTACAGTGGCCAGATCTCGCATTACAAGTGACAGAAAATATGATGGGAAATATGGCGGAGAACAAAGAACCAAAGAACTTCCAAGAAGCATGGAATCACCCAGACGAATATTAACGCGGGAAATGGCGAGAAGCGATCGTTGACGAGTTTCACGATATGACACGATGTGCGGCATTTAGCGCAAAATGAAACGATGAGATTTATCAACTGGAAGAAGATGCACCAAATGCAAACGGGTATTAAAGATAAAATGAAATGGGGCGTTCCGAGCAACACTGGTTGCATGAAGATACCCACAGATACCTGGAGTCGATTCCACGGAACATTTTGCTCCAGTTATCGAAAGCAAAACGGACATCGTCAAAGAGCAGATGGCACGAAAAACAACTGATGAATCCACGATCCTTGATACAAAAACAGGAGACATCAGTTGGGGGGAGGATGAGATGACGCCACAATTGATGTTTGAATGAGATGACGCCACAATTGATGTTTGATCTTGACTTGGAAGACACAGAATCCAAATGCAGCTTCAACAAGTTGATCGAGGCTGAGGACGTTGATTACGGCATGTTCCAGGGTCGATGATGGCATGGCTGCTCCAGGGGACTACGGAAGCTGACGACATAAACGCACAAAATTACGTCAACATGGAGATTGGTTTAAGAGGCCAGGCAGACTATGCGATAGGAAAGGGCATCCAAGCGAACCTGCTTTTGACCTTGGTCTATTCCTTGGGAAAGTCAAATCAAACTACTAGGAACTTACACACAAGTATGGGATATGTATCCCAAAATTGATCAAAGAAGCCATCAAAATTGACAAAGAGAATTAAGACACATTATGGCAGGACGCGACTCAAATGGAAATGAAGAACAATACCAGTAATGATAGCAACACTAAACGGAGTGGACTTGCAATGTGCAGATATCCAGAACGCTTTCCTCACTGCACCAGCAATTGAGAGGTACTACATGGTAGCAGGATCTGAGTTTGGGGACAAAGAAGGAAAAGTCTTCATTATAAGAAGGGCATCGTGCCAATCCTGACGTTGGGGGGGGAATGTTACAAATATATCCTTTGTTACGTCGATGACATCATCTGTATGTTGATGAAAGCCAAGGAAGTGGTGGAAGGAATTGGAAGGGCGTTCAAATTCAAGAAAGAGAAGATTGAACCACCAGAGAGCTACCTAGAAGCCAGGTTTCGAAAAATGACTTTGGACAGATTCGGTATGTGGAAGATGCCTAGTATGACTATGTCGTGGCAGCCGTCAAGAATGTTAAAGAAACGTTGAAAGACAACGCAAATTGGAAGCTACCAAAGAATACACTGACGCCAATGACCAGTGTTCACAAACCGGAGATGGACGGATTAAGTCAATGACCAGTGCTTACAAACCAGAGATGGACAGATCAAGTTAATTAGGACAAAATGATCATACCTACTTCCAAGAGTTGATTGGGATGTTTTGATGGACAACGGAGATTGGACGAGTTGACATCTTATTGGAAGTATCACTTTTGAGCCAATATCAAACGGCCCCAAGAGAAGGGCACATGGAGCAATGAACGACTGAAGTATCCAACATCCTTGATACGAAAAGAGGAGCAAGCATTGAGGATATGTACCATGATTCGAGGGTGCCAAACTTAGATCACTACAAATTAGGATCTTCACAAGAGGATTTCTAAGCATGCTATCAAGACGCAAAAGAGGAAATGTTACACACTGATCCAAAAACGAGAGGACGAAGAGTAGGGAGTACTGTATGGGTGAATGCTTTGCATGTTGCCAACAAGGAGAGGCGAAAGTTGCATATGGGGTATGTGATTTCCTTCAATTGAGCGCCCATTTTATGGAAGAAGGGGACGACTATATGGAGAGTGGACATACTAATCACAGTGTCAAACTGGATCCCATCGTTGGAACCCAATTCGAGGGACCAAATAAAGGTGACCGTGCTATTGAATATGAGATCGACCATGCTGTCGTGCACGTGTACGATCGCTAGAGTCCGTAAGTAGTAAGGACAAATCGGCCTCCAGGGAAGCACGTTGATCTGACGATGGTAACACTCTTTTTAAGAATACGTTTGATTACAATACTGTCTACCGTCTATCATAGCTACTACTTCGTAAGTCAACAACATCGTAACGCAGTGACGATAATATTTATATGTAAATAGCAAAGAAGTTCGGTCTGGTTCCAACCTTGTTTTGGTGGAAACTTAGACTGAGCTTTGGCTATTTGTAGCTCTCGTTTTAGTCGCTCAAATTCCTCCACAATGTGAGGAATGATAGCAGGATTAGCGAAGAATTCGGATGCCGCTCGCCACATCCAAGTCAACAGCTCGGCGTGTTGAATAATTAATGTTGGGTCGAACACAAGCAAAAATTCCCAAAAGCAAGGCAACTTTTCGTCAGTAGTGATAACGCGTTGGGCCGTTGCGAGAGCAAACATCTCCTGTCTCCAAGCCTTCTTGTAGAGCCTGTGAAACTTTGACACCTTGAGTTTTGTGATGTAGGCAACGAGCGATCGTCCTTGCACTGCGCCATCCTCGGCGGTTTTGGAAGGAGGGGGATGCTTGCGTTGGCTCTTTGAAGTCGTGGGATCAGGCGGATTGTCCTTAGTTAACTCGATTGACAAAGGAGTGGTCGGATTCGGGCGAGTGTTGACCGTGACGTCCTGACCTTGGGGAACTTCAGATGGGAAGAGCGAGCGGCCTTTCATTGCGCCATCCTCGGCGGTTTCTGAAGGGTTTCGCTTGCTGCTGCGCTTGGGAGTCGTGATGGCAGGATTATCCTTTGTTAGAGCAATCGACGATTGAGTGGTCGAATTTGATCGGGTTTTTGCCTCGAGACCTCCCTGACCTTGGTCAGCTACAGTCATGATCAAATTCGGATCCTTCTCCGGCGGGTTGACAATGTTATCCTTCATGTTAAAGTAAATTTCTTTCCTGTTTCAGCAACAACAACTGTTTTCCTTTACGTAGAAAACGCGTAGGACTGGTACAGTTTTGTTTTGGTGCTGTGCATGGAAAATAATCTTCTACCTTTTAGTTTTTGATTTTTGATTTCTGAGTTTTATAAAAAGAAAAAGGTGTTGAAATTTATATTGACGATGTTGGCCTGTTCTCCAATTCTTACGACGAACATATGGCCTTGATCCAAGAAGTGTTGCAGCGACTACAAGCTGCTGGGTTCAAGATCAATCCCTTGAAGTGCGGGTCGTGTGCCCAAGAAACTGATTTCTTGGGCCATTGGTTGACTCCTGAAGGTGTCAAGCCGTGGAAGAAAAAGATTGATGCCATCCTCAAGATGTCAGCCCCTACCAATGTAACAGAATTGCGTGCATTTCTTGGTGCTGTTACCTTTTACCGCCACATGTGGCCGCGTCGATCTCATCTTCTCAAACCCCTCACAGAGCTCACAGGCAAAGGAATGTTTGAATGGACTGATGAGTGCACCAAAGCTTTCGCTGAAATGAAAGCTGTCATGGCTAACGATATAATGATGCGCTACCCCAATCCAAACAAACCCTTTGAAATCTATACTGATGCGTCGGACTACCAAATGGGCGCTGTGATCATGCAAGAAGGTAGACCAGTCGCCTACTGGAGTCGTAAGCTCAATGCCACACAACGCAATTACTCTGTGATGGAAAAAGAAATGTTGGCTGTTGTACAATGTTTGAAGAAAAAATTTGGTCTATGCTATATGGTGCCAAATTAACTATTTTTACTGATCATAAAAATCTCACAATGCGAACGTTGAACACACAACGAGTTCTTTGTTGACGTATGTTTGTTGAAGAATTCGGCCCCAATTTCGTCTATTTGCCTGGAAAAGATAATGCGATTGCCGACTGCTTCTCTCGGCTTCCGCAAATGGAGAAGCCCTCTGAAGGGAAGAGTCCAAATAAAGGTAAATTGATTGCGTTTGATAAATTACAGGTTTCTGTTGATCCTGAAGACAAAATCTACACGTTTGAAGATAATGTTCTGGTAAAGGAAAATGATTTGATTATGCCACTAACAGAAGCCGAGTTCAACAGTACTTTTTGATGTCAGTTCTCCTGTTGCCGAGATGGAGATATTCATGAACATCTGACCATTGACAACATTGAAATGGAAGAGTCCTTTTTGAATCATCCTCCTCTACAAACGATGCCAAACCCAATCACAATGCCAAACATTCAACAACATCAAACTCAAGATCAACTGCTCATGCAACGAGCTCAACGCGATGCACAGCACTACCAGATCACGACAATTGACGAGCGTCTCATCATCACCTATCGAATCGATCCTGCACGTCAAGACGATTGGAGAATTTACTTACCTTTGAGTTTGGTTGATGATGTGATCACCTGGTATCACCTTGTGCTTGGACACAGAGGAAAAACGTCAATGTATGCTACGATTGCAAAGCGATTCTATTCTCCTGGATTGAAGCAACGAATTGAACGATTCAATTGTGAAATTTGCCAACTCAATAAAGCGGCGAATGTTCAATACGGACAGTTACCTGAACGACACGCGGATTTGGTTCCATGGTTCTCCGTTGCGGTCGATTTGATTGGTCCATGGAAAATTGACGTCAACGGTAGAGAACTTGAATTCAACGCGTTGACTTGTATTGATCCCGTGACAAATCTCACTGAACTTGCTTTTATCGAGAATAAAACTGCAACACACGTAGCAAGCGTTTTTGAAATGCTGTGGTTGTCGCGATATCCGAGACCATACAAATGTATTCACGATCAAGGAGGCGAATTCATTGGCGAAGCCTTTCAAGCGAAACTTGCTACTTGGGGAATCCATGATGGCGGAACCACTAGCAAGAATGCGACTGCAAATGCGATATGTGAACGAATGCATTTGACAGTGGCAAACATTTTGCGCACCAGATACAACAATGCTGCTCCAAACTTTCAAGTTGCTGTTGAAGAAGTCAAGCGAGCTCTTGCTGCTTGTAACCATGCAATGAGATGTGCTGTATCGACAGCTTTGATGAACAATACTCCTGGTGAGACCGTGTTTCATCGTGACATGCTACTAAACATTCCTGTGATTGTCGATCTACTTTCTATGCAGCAAAAGAGACAGTATAAGATCAATGAAAACTTGAGGAGACAGAACGCGAAGCGAAAAGAGTTTGACTACAGAATTGGTGGAGAAGTTTTGATCAAGAATACTGATGGAAGAAAGTTGGATCCAAAGTACAGAGGTCCGTATCCTATTACAAATGTTTACACTAATGGTACAGTGGAAATTCAGCGCACAAATGCGATCCGTGAGAGGATCAACATCAGACGGCTTGTGCCGTTCCGTCGAGTCTAATGGACGATATGCTTGCATCGCCCATTGCGTCAAGAACCACCTCTGAAGTTGAATGGAGGATCAAGTGGATGTAAGGACGCCTTGTGACTTTTAGTGTATGATCAATCGACTGGCTCTGATCATAGAAGGGAAGAGTGTAATGACCTTGGAGTGACCTTGGAACTAGATTAGACCAGACATAGCTTTAGGCCTAACGCTCACGTCACTCCTTTCTGTGGCTTTCTGAGAGACTCTATAACTTTTGTTGTGACCCATTCCTATCCCTTCTTCTAGGCTGGTTCAGGAACAGGCCTAAAGAAATAAAAATAGACCATAAATAGAAAAATTTAATTTGTTTATTGATTTTTCTCTGATTAAATGTCAAAAATATCTTGGTCTGAAAAGCGGTCCCGCGGTTTTGATTAGTCAATCCTTTAAGTATATTTTGATCGCGAGCCAAAGTTGTTGTCAATAAACAGGCGCGGTTGCCCCTGCAGAGGTCCCATCAATCACTCGGTTGCGCTTGAAGAGGTCCCACCCCTGTACCTGGTTGCGCTTGCAGACAAATTCGAAAATGACCACTACTCCTTATTGTTCATTACTGCAGAGCTGAGTGCTGAGTGCTGAGTGCTGAGTGCTTGCACCCGTTGAAACCTCCTTGCTTCATTAGGGCTGAGTATTTCCAGTGCTATGCACCCGTTGACTCTCGTGTCTCAGTAGAGATCGCCCAAACTGTTGTAAGAAAACCACAACTCCTTGCTTGATTTCCGGCAGACAATTTTGCGACAGTGCTACACCTTCCAAATGTATTGTAATGGTACAGAAACGTATTGGTCGCCCCTCCTGAAAGGGAATGCCAGAACCTGTGTCTGAAGATGTGCCAGAGATACTGGACGGCTTGCTTTGACAGTCTAAGATTCGATGTCTTGTTTTGGAGCGTTGTTCTTGCTTAGTATGTCAGCATGGAGCACCTTGGACATTACTACATGACAAGAACGACGCCCGTGACGACGGTTCTCTGTCTTTCGATGGCAAGCAGAAACGACAATCCACTACAAGCAAAACATGCAATGTCTTCGTCTTTCAATGGCAAGCACAAAGCCGACGACAATGCGCAACAAGAAAGAATGTCCAAGATGAGTGGCCTTTCGTACTAACTTCCATACCATATGCCAACTTAGGGTCCCTCGGAACTGCTCTTCCCAAGTCAAGCTACCTGATTTCTGCTCAAGATCTCATTTGTGGTATTATCGTTTTGTTGATTTCTTCTTTATTGATGTTGTCAGGCTCTGGACACATAAGAACTATTACGAGCAATAAGCATTTTTATAACAGATTACTACTAAGCTAGGCTACTACTTTCTGTTTTTTTCTTCTCACTGCAAAGAGTTCCTTACGGATATCGTCGATTTCTTCCTCATTGTTGATTTTTTGTTTGGATCTCAGCATTTTGTCTTTTACTTCTCTAGCGTAGTTCAAATAGTTGATGAATTTTAGCTTGCGAACAGCTTGGTAGATCCTAGGTCTGAAATAGCTGTTTGGGAAGACCTTGTACTCCTCTCGTGTTTGACGAAGCTGCTCAGGTTTCATTGAAGCGTGCTTGTTTGCGGCCACATCATCCTCTAGCAATTTTTTGGCTGGGTGCAAATCAAAAAAGGGTATGCCATTGTCATCCACTTCCTCCCTGGGAAATAGAATTCTGTCATGCCGAAGACACTCTTCCTCATACCTTGATCTGGCCAATGTAGTCTTAACTTGCTCCCTGTGAGCTTCCAAGCGTTCTTTGAACTGATCGAAACACACTTTTTCAAAGCCAGCCTCGTTTTCATAGTGAGTCCAGAGGTCTTCAACCGGAATCACGTTTTCTTCAAGTGGCAGGATGCCTTGGACCAAATCTTCCGTGATTGTGTTCTTGGCTTTCAAAGCTGCATTGGACCTCCAATCAATCCAACCTTTCTTCTTGTTGCCTGTAACTCCTGCCTTCTTATCCTTCACCTGTTTTCTGTGGTCAGCCAGGCGAGCTTTGAACTGGGCAAAAACAACATTCTCAAAGCCTTCCTTGTTCTGATAGAAAACCCATGCATTCTTTGCCGTAAGCTCCGTTGCTTCAAGTGGAAGTGTTCCATTATGCAGATCTTCGAGGAGCTTTGCTCTAGCACTGCTGGTTCTCCAATCAATCCAGCCTTCTTGCTTTGATTTGTTGTCTACAGTTCTTTTGCTCATTGCTTTCACTGATATCTTTTTATGATGAAAGCAAAAGTTGCCCAATAGCAGGCTTCTTCCGTTTCATTCGTGGTCATTCTTGATTGCTTGAGGTGACTAAAATCAGCGAATTCAACGGCCAATCTAATTTACCATGCTTTTAAATGATCATTTCCTCCACGATTCCGCCGAACTTGGTGAAAATATTGGATTCACAAACTAACAATTTCACAAACTCCCAATCAGCTCCAAACAAACAAACAAACAAACAAAAGGTGAGCAGCATGCCCGTTGTATTGCCAGACAATGTCGAAGATCTCATGAGAGAAAAGTATCTCTATAAAGCCATCGAGAAGCTTGACCTCCCACGAGAATCAGTCAACTTCAAGCAGGTGTGCGATGAGAACGATACAGTTTTTGGAAAGGCGGGGTCTGAAGAGAGGACTAAGCTTCAAGAGCGTTGGTACAACATTAAGCGATGTAATATCAGGAGCTATGCAGCTTATCTACAAACACTTGGACTAGCCCGAAGCAGAACAACAGAACAGCTGCTTTCCGATTTCAGAACACCATCTCCTGCTTCTACTGTCATTGACAATGAGAAAGGCTCCACCAGATCAGAAAAGGATTCCTCGATTTTGGAGGCTTTAGGAAATCTCTCGATTTCTACAAGCAACAAAGATGAGCCCTGCAAAGCTCCACCCCAAACCATTTTCAGAACAACAGTTACTAATGATTCATCTTTCTTTCCGCCGCCTGCACAGAAGATGATGCAATCACCAGTTCCTGACAAGAAGCACCAGTCATTCTCCTCCCCAACACCATCTGTGGACAGCTCTTCCTTGTCTTCTGCTTGGACAGAAGCAAACCATGAAGGGTCCAAGCACAACCCTGTGGTGGTGAATTTGGACTTGAATCATGCTGAAAAGAACTTCCCATTTGTCATCGAAAGTCCTGGCAGGAAGGAGGACCCTTCCGGGCGTTACGAGCACATGACAATTCAGGTCCAGAGAGAAATTCTCCCACCCGACATTGACAAGTACATGATGTGGCTGGAAGAAAACAGTTTGGAAGGCACCCAATCCTTGCTGGTCCAAGAACCATCGCTTCCTTCAACTTTCCACCAGGTTGACAAAACATACAAAGATGATTCCAATTCAGATCAAGCCAAATATGCAAATCAGACAAAGAAGAGAATTGATTCTGATCCTTCGCGTCAATTCCGTTACTACCGCATTGCCCTACCTGCTCATCAAATCAAGCTTGACAACAGCATCTTCTCAAATGGATGTCATGGACGTGTTGAGATGGGTGCAAGAGTTGTTACCTACAAAGTCAACAATTTCGACATCAAGACCATGGTTGTCGAATGGACAATTGCATTGGCAGGGCAGGGAATTGAAAAATTGGCAACACCCAAAAACCCTATTAGTGCTTTGGCAGGTACCTGGGCTTCCATGTAGATGATGCAAGGATGTGTACCTGCCTAGCTAGTGACAGCAAATAGTTTTAGCATATAGTTTTAAAATGAACCAATAGTATCTGTTTAAAAGAATTGCATTCCAATGACAAGACAAATATTGCCTATCATCAGTTTTGAGTGGGAAGAAATTATGATGCTTCTTGTCCGATTTTTTGGAACGTGACATGTGGCAGCTGAATGTGGCTGGCAGCAGAAGTCTACTACAACCCTCCTCCAAGCCACAACCGCTGTATCGTCATTGTCACATTAGTACCTACCAAACAAAGGAGCCGTAGAAAATTCAAGAGTCACTATTATATTAGTATAATGCGATTTGAAGCAATGATTGGCTGGACTACTAAGCAGAATGAACAGCTCCGTTTCTTTCTTCCCAACTCTTGACGCGTCGCCAATCTGCGTCATCTCCTTTCTGCTCCATCCAGTCTTTGGCAGCCATCATCTCCTTATCAAGTTGCTTCTTGAATTCTTCTTCGTCTTTGGAGATATCATACTTGGCAAGCTTGCGCATTGCCTCCACAATGCTTGCTTCAATAGCAGGCACTTGAAATACGGCCTCTGCATAGGTCATTGGCTGGTCAGTTGAGATCTTCCTGAAGGAGCCAGTGTGAACAAAAGTCCCATAAAGCCCCCCTTTCTTAGGCAAGTTGACGATGACAGGTGTCGTACTTGCATCAGCTGTACGCGTGTGATCAAGCCATCCTTGTTTACCCTTGTATTTACCGGCAACAAATTTGATGCACTCGGCTTTTGCAATTACTTCATCGAGCGGTGTCACTGGTGTCATAATAGTAGTTGTTGCGTCTTCAGAGAAGATGGAACTGTGAGGAAAGTGAGGTGGATTGATGTGTATTACCGGTACTGAATCGGCGGCGTTATGGCGAAACTGATCTCCATCATGCAAGTCGTGTTTTGTAGTGGGACTGATTCCAGGTCACTCAACGCAAACGACATCAGTATCATAAAATTAGAAACAGGCACAATGAGGTTTATGAACGTATCTCTTTTCTTTACCTCTGATGAGGTGCTAGTTCGTGGCTTCCGCACCATCAAAGCACTTCCAAACATCACTATTGATGACAACAACAAACGAAATAATGAAAGATTCATGAGCTTTTTTGGGGTATCAACAACAGTGATTTCCTTTGCCTGGGCCTATATCTTGAAATCCCCTGATTCCGGCATTGACCTGAAAGACAAAAGTGAGAAAGGATTCCAAAAGATTCTGACTGCTTGTCACTACTTGTGGGCGAGACCGAAGAACAACGAAATTCTTGCTACCACATGTGGGTATAACTGCAAACGACATGTTGAGGGTGAGAACCTGTGGAAATATGTAAAAGCACTTGCAAAGATCAAGGATCAAGTAATTGTATGGCCAGAGACCAAGTACAATAATCCAAGAGGGCAAAAAATCCTTGGAACCATCGATGGTGTTGATTTCAAAACAAGAGAGAAATCGACAGACCAGTTCAACCAGTGCCCCAAGCAGTTCACATACAAGCATCACCATTGTGGAGTCAAGTACGAGCTCATAGTCGATGCATATACAGCAAAGATTGTTTCAATCAATGGGCCGTTCCGAGGTGGTATGAGCGACAAAGAAATTTACCAAAACAAAGTCAAAGACAGAATTCCTGATGGCAAATTCCTTGTTGCCGATAGGGGCTATACTAACAACAAGGTCCCAGGATGGAACGACAAGTTTGCGTTTCCCTCCCACACTGACTCCAAATGGTTGGCAAACACAAAATCTCGCCTACGATGCAGACATGAAGCAGTGAACGGGAAACTTGTCCAGTTTGCGGTATTGCACAAAGAGTTCACACACCCCCATGACAAACATGTATTCGCATTCGAAGCAGTTTGTGTGCTCGTGCAATTGTCCATGAACTTTGGACACCCAATTTGGGGAGCCTAGAGCACTGTAGTTTTAAAGAAGCACACTAATTGGATATTACTGTATTACTGTACGATGCGATGTATCAAATTCTTTATCCTCTCACACATACATCACTTGACAAAGCCATCGGGTCGGTCTCGGAGTGACCGGGAGGTGTTGCTTTCATATATTTAAAGGTATTTTCAGTTGTATATCGAGTTTTAATGATCATTTAAAGAAATTCAGAATTTAACGATCTTCAACGGAGAAATTTATATCTCCATTACCGTATGAATACGACAAATTGATGTAGCGTGTTTATTGAAAATTATCTGTAGATGATCGTGAAGATTCAAAGTTCTCTGTAGATGATCGTGAAGATTCAAAGTTCTCTGTAGATGATCGTGAAATTTGTTAAGTAATACTTATCGGTTCAATTTCACGATTATCTACAGAGACTTTTGAATTTTCACGACCATCTACAGAGAACTTTGAATCTTTACGATCATCTACAGACTTTTGTTATATAGAAGGTGGTGGCGCGTTAATTGAAAATTCCCTGTAGATGATCGTGAAGATTCAAAGTTCTCTGTAGATGATCGTGAAGATTCAAAGTTCTCTGTAGATGATCGTGAAATTTGTTAAGTAATACTTATCGGTTCAATTCCACGATTATCTACAGAGACTTTTGAATTTTCACGACCATCTACAGAGAACTTTTTGTCTTCACGATCATCTACAGAGAACTTCTTGTTCTACGCGACTGTTGTTAAGTAATAGTAGGTAGCGCGTTAAATGAAATAGGCCTAAAAAACCTGTAGATGGTCGTGAAAGTTCAGAAAAAACCTGTAGATAATCGTGAAGGTCGAAGATTCTCTGTAGATGGTCGTGGTTTTGTTAAGTATTATTTATTGGTTCACAATCACGATTATCTACAGAGAATTTTCGATTTTCACGACTATCTACAGGTTTTTTCTGAACTTTCACGACCATCTACAGGTTTTTTAGGCCTTTTGCAATTTCTCGCACTGGCGGAAGGACAATGCCTCGCTTTTCTCCTTCTGGAAGGAGTGCCATTTTTGACCAAAAAAATCAGTTACAGATTTTTTCGGCATGTCCCAGAACATGTTGTCACCAAAAAGCCATATATAAAAATATAGGAAAATCATACGTCACTCTCGAGAAGGCTGATTCAGACCACAATCACACACAAAAAAGAAGACACATCAAAACACACATTCTTTGAAAGCAGCAGCGGATTGGGATTTTATCTTGCTACTGCACTGCTTGGCCTACAAAAAGGAATGTTTTTTTATTGTCTTTTTTAATGGTAATTGTGTTCGGTGCTCTAACATTGGCTACATGTTCGTTTTCGATCGCTTTTGGTTGCTCTCCATGTTTTTGTTGGCCTCTTCTTCCAAACTGTTGTTCATTGCGTCTTCAAAGTAGTTTGCCTTGGAAGGATCAAGGCTGACCACATTCATTATTTCCATGAACAATGGCTTTAAACGGTGAAAGGCATTGAGCGCTGACCTCTTGCTTCCTACTCCCGTCTTGGTTGTCATCTTTTCAACGAACTGTCCAGCTTCTTCAATCTTGCCAAGCTTGGAAGCGATTTCACATTCCATGCCTTCATTTGACGCCATTTCAACATCAAATATGTTAGTATCTTCTTGCATTTGTGAAAGCACGTACCCATCTTCATATGTGTTAACTGTTTGCGACAACCCCATGCCACCAACAGCTCCCTTAGCCTCCATGGCATCACAAACTGATTGAACACGGCTACGATCCCAGTTCAAAACTGATTCCTTGGCAGTCTTACCAAAAAAGGAGGGAAGTTCAGTTGCAATGTGGGGAGATGTCACAACCGAGAAGTCAGCATGTGGGGGCTTAGTTGTCAATTGCGGCCCCTCATATTCATTGCTTTTCAATAGGCCAAGAACTTCATGGTCATCAAATGATCTTACTTCACCAGGTGCTGTTAAAATCCTGAGACGGCTCCACAGGAGCAAGGCCTCGGGATTGGGCTTTGAGTCAATAAAGGTAGTTTATACGAAGTTGGTTGATAAATAATCGAATTAATAAATTGTGAGGTTATCACTACTTGATAATACTTGGAAAGAGTTGCTGCATCGAATTTCTAAGAAAGCTAGTGAAATTCGAAGAGAGCTAGAGCATTGATCTCCAGTCGTGACTGGAGTCCCAGCTAGCGGAGTAGTGAAGGCGTCTGTGCGTCAGTACGTCTACTGAGAGCTCAATATTCCAACACTCCCTCTCGCCGAGCTATGCAGGTAGCGGGAGATGCTTACCAGCCAATTAACCATTTCCTATGTTTGATAAAGAGTTCGACAGCCAGCGGTTTTGTCAGTATATCAGCTGGTTGATCCTCAGTATCAATAGGATGAATGGTAATCTCCTTCCTTGTTACATATGACCTAAAGTGGTGCAGTTTTGTGCAGAGGTGTTTTGTCCTGGGTCTCCACTTGTGGACTTTTGCCATTTCCAATGCTCCAGTATTGTCTTCAAAGACTCTGCAATGGACTTTTGGGCGATGATCTAGGACAGGGATTCCATGCCGTTTCATTTCCTTGAGTAGGTTCATGAGGGGAATCGCTTCACGCAATGCATAACTGAGACCAGTGTATTCGCTTTCGGTAGAGCTCAAAGCAATTTCGGTTTGTAATTGACTTTTGTGAATTATTGGAACACCGGCGTACGCAATGACGTAGCCATGACGCGAGCGTGCCGTGTCTGGATCATGTCCATAGCGTTCGTTCCAGTTCCCACAAAAATCTGCATCAACATACCGTTGGAGCAAAGCTGATTCGCCATTAGTGACTCACCAGTCACAAACGCCAATCACGTTTATTACAATTGCATGTCCCACGGCATAATGATTGGAATGTATTGGTTGGAGTATGACTGGTACTCGTGGACGTATTAGCTTACGACAACGAGAATCTTTAGAACAAGTAGAAAGCGAATTTTCAGAATACAGTGCAATTGCAAAGAGTTTTGCAATCCTCATTGTTTTCTGAAAATTCTAAAAGACTAAAGTGATTTACAGCACACCTGCAGTGCGGATCTATCTGTTCTATTAGTTAGACGGGACAGTCACTTCATAGGTGCTGTCGATCGGCATTTCTGGCGTTGCCTCAACGTTTTCAGAAAACAAAATGCCAACTGAAAGCGACGGCCAAGGCGAGTCGCCTCCAGACCCCGCCCACAGCGGGTCCGACCCAATCCGACCAAGGAGCAGGAATCGGCGAGGCAAACAAAAGAACAACACCAAGTTTGGAGCTGCAACCAGAGCTAAAGGGATATTACTATGAGCTCCCGAACGTGGATCCAAGAGTACCCCCATTCCTCCAAGTCGTGAAGGCCCACATTGCTTACTTCGTGTCAAACCGAAAGGATGCTTCCGATTACCTGATGGTGGGGGAATCAACTTCAACCGCCAAAGACCCATTCTCTCTGCCTCCTTTGGTTGCACCAAACCTTCCGGATTGGGACAACAAACAGGAAGAACATGATTACCTAAAGAAGGACAAAAAGTATGAGGCGGAGAAGTCTGTGCGCAAGGCAAATGAAGCAGCTCTTTGCGCAATGTTGAAACGCCACTGCTCCGCAGCATTCCTGAGCGCTGCTGAGAGCCATCCCAAGTGGAGCACGGTCATCGCAAACAACAGCTCAATGGACAAGCTCAAGGTCTTCCAGATTGTGGCGGCCACAGGCGGATCTACCAATGTTGATCCAACCATGATGAGTGTCGAAGCTCAAAGGAAGGCTTACACCTGCAAGCAGAAGGAAAACCAGACCAATGCAGAATACCTCCAAGTCTTCATGCAGCTTTCCAATACCGCCAGATTCTGCGACTGCCCCATGGGAGCCTCCCTATCCAGGCTCATCCAAGAGATCGGCAAATCGGACCCAACACTGGCTGAACTGAGAGCGGTAGAAGAGAAGATTGTGGAGAAGGAGATGGCAATGGCTTTTCTCCTCGGAGCCGACAGAAAGCGGTACGGGAGCCTTATTGCCCAGGCCAACAATGCAAGACTGTTCAGCGGAAGCGACACGTTTCCCACCACCATGTCAGGAGCTATCGAATTGCTCAACAACAGCAGGCCACGTATTACCTCGTATCATTCAAGCATCCGCAGCTCGGAAATCGGTACGTCATTCCTTGCCGACGGCCAACCATCCACTGAGAGCGGGTCGGGCGGTCGCGGCGGCGGTCCCAACGGAAGAAGCGGCGGCGGTCGGAACGGTGGGCGCGGAAGCAGCGGGCGCGTTGGTCGCGGGCGAGATTTTGAGCGACGTCCGAATAGAAACCACGAACAACACGAAACTCACATCACTGACACGTCCAACAATAACAATAACGAATAGTTGATGAGTATTTGGCCACTGAGGAACCTAGCGATTCAATCAACCCAGTCAATACTGACTCCATAGCAGTCGATGAAGACGTTTCCACCACTGAACACCTCTTCCTTCATTCCAACAACAAGTCGTACGTGAAACTCATTCTGAAGCGCCACCCCCAATCCGGCCTACCGGTAACATGGATCGTTCTGGACACTGGGTCTACAGCAAACATTTTTTGCAATCGATCACTACTACAAAACATTCACAAGGTCAAACATAAACTGAATGTACGATGCAATGCAGGAGTGGTACAATTGGACATGAAGGGATATTTTGGGGATTATCCGGACCCGGTATGGTTCAACCCCGATGGGATCGCCAACATCCTATCATTCCATGATGTCAACAAGCACTACCACGTTGTGTATGACAACAGGGGAGCGGACCGATTTGTGGTGGACTTTGGCGGCACCAAGAAAGTCGAATTCCTCCCAACCGACAAGGGATTGTATCACATCAACCTCGATGACTATCGCAAGACGTCATGGACGTTTCTGGAAACCGTGAAAGGGCAAAAAGCCAAGCACACCAAAGCGGCTGTAATGCGAGCGGCGCAGGCTAGACACATTCAAAACATCATCGGCCGACCAGGAGATCGACGATTCACCGATATCGTGAACAAAAATCTGCTCCGTGACTGTCCTGTGACAGCAGAAGACATCAGAGTGGCCCACAACATTTATGGACCTAATCTCGGGTTGCTAAAGAGAAAAACCACTTCCCGCAACGACAGCCACGTGAGGACCGAGGTGGGACCGATTCCAGGCCATATCCAGCAACTCTATTCAGATGTCACATTGGCAATTGACATATTATTTGTAAACAAAGTCCCGTTCCTGGTCAGCATTTCCAGACACCTGAAGTTTGGTAGTGTGGAGCGCCTCACCAACAGACGCATCAAGACCATCACCGACAGCATGCGCAAAGTATTCGAACTCTACTCCCGACGCAACTTCAAGGTCAAATGCATTCTTGGGGACCCAGAGTTTGAGCCTTTAAAACAACAATTCCCCAATATCCAGGTCGACTGCTGTGGTGCAGATGAGCACGTGCCGGAAGTGGAGCGCTTTATCCGCACTATCAAGGACAGGGTGCGCAGCACGTATAACATGCTGCCATTTCGACGAATTCCCAAACTGATGCTAGAACACATGATTCGAAATGCAGTGTTCTGGCTCAACGCTTTCCCAGCATTGGATGGGGTTTCTGACACGCTTTCGCCTAAATATATTGTAACCGGAAGAAATGTAAACATGAAACTCCACGTCCGCACCGAATTTGGCGCATACGTCCAAACTCATGAGGAACATTCCAATGATATGCGTGCACGCACGCTGGGCGCCATATGCCTTGGGCCCACCGGTGCAGCACAAGGCTCACACTATTTCATGAGCGTTGCAACCGGCAAGCGCATCACAAGGCAACACTGGACACCACTACCCATGCCTACTGATGTCATCGAGGCCGTCAGCAACCGTGGGCTACAACAGGGCATGCCCACTACACTGACATTTGCAGACCGGCACGGAATGGAGCTTATCGACGACGATGACGACGTGGACGACGACCACGACTCCTTGTACAGCTCTTCCAATGCGTCCGCCACCCACACTCACACAGATGACGATGACATTAGCTATGACAGTGATGCTAGCGATGTCACCATGCCACCTCCACAAACACCTGTGGACGATGATGCCAGCGCCTACGACAACACCAATTCCGTAGATGACGCTGATGAAACTGATAGTACTCACAGTGATGATCCAGACAACGACCAGCCTCCCGACAACGCCGGGGTCCTGCCCGCAGGAGTGAATGAACATCAGCTGCAACAACACCAACCACAGTTCCCTGATGAAGACACAGGAGTGAATGCCAGAAACACAGGAGTGGACGCCAGAAATACAGGAGTGGGCAGCATAAGTACACAAATGGACCACCAAGATGACAGTTCCACAACCAGTGATGACAGTGACTACAGTCCGGAAGATGATGACGCCCGAGAGCAAGCTGTCGCGGATACACAACTGAATGAATTGATCGAAGAGATCCAACAAGAGGTGCAACAGGAAGTACAAGAACTTCAGAACTTGACCCAAAATCAGAACCGACAACAAATCAATGATGACATGGATAGAGCGTATGGTGAAAGACAACATGGAAGAAACCTTCGTCCCAGAAAATACCCAACAACTCATGGAGATCACCAGGTCCTCATTCAGGTCCCACACAGGGATGAACCTATACCGGAATACACAGAGATGGTAACCTTGTTCCATCATGAAGTGGCTTTTCTTACGGAGCAAATGTCAGCAAAGAAAGGATTGAAAGTGTTTGGAGAATCAGGAGCAGAGGCCATTGTAGCGGAAATGCATCAGATACACTACAGGAATGTGTTATCGCCCAAGTACAGGAGCCAACTGACACCAGAACAAAGGAGGAACGCCTTGAGATACCTAATGTTCCTGAAGGAAAAGAGATGTGGAAAGGTCAAGGCCCGCGGATGCGCCGACGGGCGCCGCCAACGTCTCTACAAAACAAGGGAAGAGACATCCGCACCGACAGTACGCACCGAGTCCTTTGTGATCACCTGCGCAATTGATGCCAAAGAAGGCCGCAAGGTCATGACAATTGACACTCCTGGAGCATTCATGCAGGCTGATACAGACGAGATTATCCACGTCAAGTTCGAAGGGGAGATAGCCGAACTACTAACAAAAGTTGACCCAGCCCTGTACACCAAATACGTTGCATATGAAGGAAAGAAGCCGGTCATATATGCACAGCTGAACAAGAACCTCTACATGACCTTGCAAGGAGCGCTGTGCTGGTGGAAGAACCTTTCTGGGTTCCTGGTGGACGAATTGGGGTACGAGACCAACCCGTATGACAGCTGCGTTGTCAACAAGATGATCAATGGAAAGCAATGCACCATCATCTGGCATGTTGATGACTTGAAGGTTTCTCACATGGAGCAAGAAGTCCTTGAGGATATTGCATCTAGACTGAGTGAAAGGTACGGAAAGGAGGCACCCCTCACAATCCAAAGAGGTGACGTGCATGAATACCTTGGGGTCACGATCGATTTCAGCGAAAAAGGAAAGGTAAAGTTTTCCATGGATGATTATGTCGACAGATTACTCGAAGAAGCACCAGAGGATATGAAAGGACTGGCTACATCACCGGCAGCCAATCATCTGTTCCAAGTCAAGGATGAGCCGGTATTTTTGGACAGCAAGAGGGCCAAACTATTCCACCACATCACGGCAAAACTTTTATACCTGTGCAAGAGAGTTAGGGGGGACTTAATGACTGCAGTTGCATTTTTGACAACCAGAGTCTCCAAGCCAGACGAAGACGATTACGCAAAATTGGGCAGATCCATCAAATATTTGAGAGCTACCAGGTACATGCCCCTGACAATTGAGTTGGACGACAAGTTTGTCATGCAATGGTGGGTGGACGTGTCCTTCGCAGTTCACAAGGACATGAAGAGCCACACTGGCGCTGTATTGACCATGGGTAAGGGCGCCATCATCGCTATCTCAACCAAACAAAAGATCAATACTGACAGTTCGACTGTAGCAGAATTGGTTGGAGTACACGACGCACTACCCATGATCATGTGGTCCAGATACTTCATCATTTCACAAGGATACGAAGTGGTCGACAACATCATCCACCAGGACAATCAGAGCGCCATGCTGCTCGAGAAGAATGGAAGATCATCTTGCGGCAGGAAGACAAGAGCCCTCGACGTGCGATACTTTTCTATTACCGACAAGATCAAGAGTGGATTCATGAGAGTACTTCACTGCCCGACAGCCAAAATGCTGGGAGACTTCTTCACCAAGCCTACGCAGGGAACACTGTTCCGCACATTCAGAAACCTCATTATGAACCCTTCCGACCAATACTCCTAGTGCGCTTGGACACAGTAGTGCGTTGGAGCAAAGCTGATTCGCCATTAGTGACTCACCAGTCACAAACGCCAATCACGTTTATTACAATTGCATGTCCCACGGCATAATGATTGGAATGTATTGGTCGGAGTATGACTGGTAATCGTGGACATATTAGCTTACGACAACAAGAATCTTTAGAACAAGTAGAAAGCGAATTTTCAGAATACAGTGCAATTGCAAAGAGTTTTGCAATCCTCATTGTTTTCTGAAAATTCTAAAAGACTAAAGTGATTTACAGCACACCTGCGGTGCGGATCTATCTGTTCTATTAGTTAGACGGGACAGTCACTTCATAGGTGCTGTCGATCGGCATTTCTGGCGTTGCCCTTTCTCCAGGTAGGCTATTTTCCCAATGAGTGATCGATAATTGAATTGATTGTCAAATTCCGGGGAGTCTGCTTCCTTTTGAAGGATTCTGGAGTGGATCATTGGAGTGTCTCGAGAGTTCGAATTGTTGATTGGTTTGCCTTTTTGCTTGAGTCGCAAGGTCTCTAGGATCTGATTGATGAGGTGAGGCTGCGTGAGCCAAAATCCGCCATCTTTCTTCTCGATGTTTACTCCGAGAAAGTCCTTTAGATCCCCTTCAACAGTCAAGTCTAATTTTTCTTTCATCAAAGATATTGCTTCGTCGATTTCTTTCTTGTCGGGTCCTGCAATGATCGAGTCATCTGTGTACAAGACATAGATCATTTTGCCCTTGAAGAAGACGCAGTCATCCACCTTGGATTGGGCAAAGCCGCATTCTCTCAGCTTCTTGACCAGGAACTGGTTCCAAACACGTCCGGCTTGCTTTTGGCCGTATGTGTTGCGTCTCACCTTGAAACAATAATCAGCCGGGTTTGCTCCATCGAGGTCTATCCCTTTTGGAATCTGCATGTACAGCTCCCTCTCAACTGGTGCTTGGGTGAATGCCAGTACATAATCGAGCTGTACTGTGTGCCATCCAAGTGTGAGAGCGAGTGCCAAGAGGAGTTTGATGATTCCCCAGCTTGCTACAGGAGCATAGGTAAGATCGTAATCGCGATGCTTTACCATTCGGGATCCATCAATATTTAACCGAGCTTTCCATTTCTTTACTTTTCCAGTTTTGATATCGCGCTTGCGCTTCATCTGCCATACCGCAGGTAGCAAGGTCGCTCCTTTTGGTAAGTCCTTCTTTGGGATGAGTTCGATGACCTTTTGGTCTATCTGATCGCTCATTTCCTTCATCATTGCCTTTTGAAACTCCTTCCAATCAGGTTGCTTCATTGCCTGGTGCAGATACATTGTGTCTGGATCAGTTGATGCCTTTATTGCAAGGATATCATCAGGTTCCACTGGATTTGGAAACATTGCTTCCATCGCAAAGAGTTCAAAAGGTACGTCCAGATCGGCGAGCTCAGCGGTCATGACTTCGATGAGTCGCTCTGGTTGTTGTCTTTGCCTTGTTGATCTTCTGACTGATTGGTGACGATCTCCGGCAGGTGTCACTCTTGGTGACGGTGGTGCTGCCACTGGGGCAGGAGCTGGAGCTGGTTGGCCATCTCCTGTCGGAGCCTGCTCTTGCTCGAGTGTCCCTGGGGACGGGTGATCCGGAAGTTCAGATTGTTGAGGAGCTCCCTCTGAATCTTGGATCGACCGGTTCCTTGTTTCTTCAATAGGTAAGTTGAATCCGACTTGCGGTGGAACCGTTGGAGTGTCAGCCTGGGCTGCCTCCCTCTGACCATTGCGATCAGTTCCTCCTCTTTTCTCACCCTTCTT